AGTGTAGTAGCATTAGTAGTAGTGGTGGTAGTAGTAGTAGTAGTATTGTCAGTAGTAGTATGTGTTGTCTCACAGACGGCGCTGATGTTGATGCTCCTGGTGAAGTGGAGCGTTCTCCCCGTCCTCTCGTACTGGACTCTACAGAAGTATAAACCCTGATAAGGACCCAACATGAGGTGGATCTGGAGTGTGTCTCCTTTCTGCTGACGGTTGCTGACAAAAGGGTCCTTATAACACCTCTGAGACACAGGACAGACAGGGAGACAGAGAGAGAGACAGGTCAGAGAGGACACAGAGAGAGACAGGTCAGACAGGACACTGAGAGAGACGGGGAGACAGACAGAGAGAAAGACATGATAGAGAGACAAAGAGGTAGACGGGTCAGACAGAGAGACATGATAGAGAGACAGACAGGTCAGAGAGAGAGACAGGACTGTAAATAGATGTGTGGACAGACTAAATGTCCAACACGTCTCATTGTCTCACTAGAACTACTAATCCATCTATCAGAGACACGGAGGGACAGATTTGTCTCACATGGGACCAGGTGACCTTCGTCTCTCCGTCGGCCATCTTGCGTGCGTCCTTCAGGTGGGGACAGTCGAGGACCCCCCCCGTCTGAAAGGGGATGACCGTGGGCGTGGGCGCCACGGCAACGGGAGGCTCGCAGTCGTGGTCGCGCACAACCTCGTCCGGCCGCAAGACCTTCAGACGGATGGTGATCTTACTGCAGGACGACTTGTTGCTACGTTAAAAAACAGAAAACATGAAGAAGAAAATGTAGGACGACTGGTTTCTGCAGAAGGAAACAGGAAGTGACTGCTGACCACACAGGAAAAGAAAACCAGATCTCTTCTTCTGCTGAATGTATTAAAGTCATCGTCGGTGTTTCCTTCTTCTTCTTCATGAGTCACAAACATCCTGCAGAGATCTTCATCAGGATGAAGGTCAGATCACAGCTCTGATGGAGACACTGACACAGAGAGAGAGAGAGTGTGTGTGTGTGTGTGTGTGTGTGTGCGTGCGTGAGAGTGTGTGTGTCTGAGAGTGTGAGTGTGTGTGTGCGTGTGTGAGTGTGCGTGTGCGTGTGCGTGTGCGTGTGCGTGAGAGTGTGTGTGAGAGTGTGTGTGAGAGTGTGTGTGTGCTTTACACAGCAGATAGCAGTGATCAGGTTTAAACATGGTTTACTTCTTTAATATTGTTTTTACACCAAAACACAAATGAAACTTTTAGTGAAAACAAAGTCGACTTTCAGGATTCAGGATTCTTATAAATTATTTTTATATTATATATTCTTACAATATTTAAACTGTGTTGTGAAGGTCTATCAGAGTTTAGAGTGACAGACAGGACAGACTTTGTACATGTTACTGCTGTATTTATACCGTTAACGTTAGCATAGCATAGCACCAATAGATCCAGACTTCATTCAGAAAACAAGTTTTACAAGTTGTTTGTTTGTCATCCTGCGGTCGGACCTGACAGAGAATAAATTCAAAACCTTTTACTAATCGGCTTCATTATGTCGTTATTTCTGCATCCTTTTTATCCGTTTACTGCAATTAAATCACAGCTAAATCACTTTATTTTGGGGTTCATAGATCTGCAGTAAACCAGCAGACATGTGAATACAACTAAAACTGAGAGCTCCAAACATCTGGATCTACGCTGCAGGCTGAGTCCTCCGTGTTCACCATCAATCAGTCTACACCAACGCTACACTGGTCACATGACTCTGGAGGACGGCCAACATGCAGCGCTCTTCAAACACTCATCTAAAGATGCAGCTTTGTGTTCTTCACGTTCTATCAGCCCCCCCTCCCTGAGAAGGGTCTCACTTCTCAGGAAATGAATCCTGCTCCTCTGGACCGCCGCCAGCTGACGGGTCTTGAGGACGCTCTCAGAGACACTTTAGCTGATTAATGTCGGAGGATTTCCGAAGCCGAGATCAGCAGAAGCTGATCTGATCCCTGAACTGCTGATCCGGTCTGGACTTAATAGAACAAAAACCTACCTCAGCATACAGATGTACTGTCCCGAGTCGTTGGCGGTCGCCGGCTGCAGCCACAGTCTGTCTCGGTCTCTGCTGATCCGCCAGCTGCAGACAAGAAACCACATTAGACTCCGAAACCGGCGTAAATCAGATCTAATTAGAACTAATGTCCTCCTAACTGAATTGAGCCGCTCGCCTCCAAAACACCATACATCGTGTCTGGAAGGGAAATCGTTAGGTTGCACTTCATCAGTCAGTTAACTCTCAGAGGGTCTCACTTGGTCTGAATGATTCCAGGCTGCTTCTTCAGATGGAGACGGAGAGGTCCGTCTGTCCATCCGTCCTGGTTCTTAAGGTTCTAACTAGAAGACAACCTCCAGTTCTTTAAGTGAAGTCAAAGCTTGATGTGTTAAAGCTGCATTCTCTCTAGTGTCCACCAG